GAATTCTTGTTCTCATTCGTCCTTTCCTCTCCATCATATTCCTTGGCTCATGGTTCCTTGGTTGACTTGTTTATAAAAACTTAATTTCCCCCATCTATCATCTTCCTTAGATCTCAGATCCTTGTCTTCCTATTTTTTTCTAGGCTTCTTTTCTGCTTTTGTCCTTTCTCTAAATTCTCTTTCTCCAATATTTATTTTTGTCCAATGAAAACGCCCCAACTTTGTGTACTGTCCTGTCCTTGGTCTCTCTGCTGTCCTCTCATCTTATATGCCAGCTGCGCACCAGAGATCAGCCTCCATTTAATTTTCTTTTGTTGTGTCCATCTCCTTTCTCCCTTTAAACAGTCTTACCTCTGTTCACCTCTCATTTCCACTCTTATTTTTTCTGTCACCTTCCTTTTCAGTTCTGTCTCGTCCCCTTGTTCTTCCTTTCTGACCTCTTGTGTCTACCTCACTCCAATGTTAGGAAGCTATCCCATATACATGAATAATGGAAGAGATGCACCTCATCTCATCCTTTTTATGTTTCCCTATCTACTTTTAATGCTTCCTGATCTTTCTGATCTTCTCACACATGACTATTTTATTTTGTTTTACTTAGTCTTACGTCAACATGTCAGACTCAATTCTTGTAATTTTGTACCTGTCCTTTTATAATCTATTTCCATTCTTGCAGCAGCATTTCATATACTTTCTCATTTAATTTCAGTTATATATATATATATATCATTGGGTGACTGTGGCTATGACTCGAGGGGCTATTGTCTGGCTTTGGGTGGGTCGGTGGTTCGATCCCAGGCAACTTGTTGAGGTGTCTGCCAGTTGCTTGCAATGCACCCACAGCTGAGGAACGGCATTGTGCCGGTATTCAGCCCAGAGAAATGCCAGGGGATGTGACAGGAAGGGCATGTGGCACAAGAAGTACTGCCAAGCCTACCATGAGAGTCAATGCTGTCCCACTGTGGAGGCGCCTGACAGGAAAAGTGCAAAAACAACAACATCATTACAATCAAGAGGGTAATCGTACCTAATCGAGCAAAAATAATACTAAAGCTAAGTGGTGAGGCACAATTGATTTTACGAATCAATATGAACAAAAAGAGAGGTTGGTTACACACAAATATGGACACTGTACAGCTCAACACAAACAGGCACGATGTGGAAATCAAGCAGGAATGGTGTTCATTAAAAATCATGGCTAAATACACTAGATGATGCATGAGGGGAATTGTGCTTGATAGGAGTCAGATTCTCAAATTCCACTGAGACACATCACAAAGAAATACTTGATACTGCTAAGATCTTTTGGGACTCCTATGATTGACAAGTGGTTGTACTGTAGTAAAAACACCGGTCAACGTGCTTTTAAACTGTACCTGATGGAATATACATGATGACTGAGTTGCCCACACATTAGTGTGCTACATAAAGAAAAAGAGACAATCAGCCTCTCCCCAGGTGACTGAGAATGTCAGTGCAGGACAAGATTAGACTATGTCAGCAAGAACATTTTGTTGATAATTACACAGAGGGATTTTATAGCAGGATTGCACTGCATAAATACCTCATTACAAAGATGAATGCACTTTTGAGAGACCTGCGGTGCACAAACCACAGGTGCTAATCTAAACATATGTGGAAAGCAAATTACATGGTCAGATATGTTGTTCTTCCCTGGATTTTACGTGCTCTACAATAATGCATCCAGTAGTTCTGTAATGTTGTGGAAGACACGTTTCATTATATGTGATAAATGCAAACTTTTAAACAGAAAAAATGAATTACCTCACTATAATGGTATGCATCCAAATTGATCTTACTGGCAAACATTTGATTAATCTTTAAAATAAGATTCACTTACCCAGGAGCATGGGAACCAGCATTGAAACCTGTGACAGAAAACTGCATTATCTAAATTTGGCCTCTAAATCAGTGCTTCAGCAACAAATGTAGACTGCACTCTGTCACTTACTAATTTCTCATTTTATTTAGACACATGTACTTCTTATTCTAAATTGGATTTTTGTCTTTGTCTACTTTCATATTCCCTGACAGTTACAAATTCACTTTAGTTCTTTGCTTTTTTCACTTTAAACTGTCTTTAATATCTCTCTCTCTCTTCATATATATATATATATTATAGTTAAAAACAAATTAGTGATTAATTATGTATTGCTATTGCAGCGTAATAATATCCTTACCTGAAGGCAGTCACTTTCCCAGTGATGTTGGCAGTAAGTCTGGGCTGTGCATGGAATATATTACAGTACGAAGAAATCAAACTTCTACATTTTTAGAGTAGACTACAACTAATATTTCACCCAAAAAGGCAGCAAAGAAAGGACAAGACTCGACTTTACGGTTGTTTTTACTGTTTACTGTTGACGAAGAGACTTGTGAGTCATTTATCGCTTTGCAACATAGGTTGTATACCTGGTCCCTCATTGGTTAAGAACTGATACTATTCTTCCCAATCAGCAAAAGGCTATGTCAAAAGGTTAAAAATATGCAGAAACTTTGAAATATTGAGCAAACATTTTCAGAATCCGTCTCTGTGGATGATGCATTATATGGTCACTGAAACAGACCAAGTCAGCAGACGTTTGATGGATTGCTCTAGTAGGCATCCAGAGCACATTACTATGCAGAAGAGAATAGTGTGCAAGCCCATCAGGTTCATGAGTGAAGAGGGCCCCCTGTTATTACCATTGTCCATCCAAAGTTACCTGTCCAAATCTTCTGATTCACCCTTTACTGTATTTACATGCAATCCTATGCAGCAATTAGCAGTTTCCAGTTCAAAAAGTCCAAATCTGAGGAACCAGTCTGCATGTCACTCCTGGTTTTAACCAGTCGCCCCCTTTCTACAACTCAACTATCAATTGATTCCGACAAAACTAATTTATACTGCCTCTGGTCAGACATTTTGTCAGTGCACTTTGTCTGTTTCACATGCCCTTCCCCTGACTTTCTTCTTTTGACTTCAAACCTCAGCTGTATTTGGAATAACGCAATGTTGTACCTCCTGCAAGTTCTCCTAACAAGCTCTCCATATTTTTAACACATCTCATGTTTTGTTTTTTCTTTGTGTTTCTCCTCCTTTCATGTATTTTTCTGGTTGCTTAGTATACCTGCAGCATTATCATAGGGCTACCACAGTAGCTCTTTCAACTTCAGGGGAGTTAGGGGAACATTGAAACATCTGCTTCCAGGCAGTGTCTTACATCATTTAATTTTTTTCCCCCGCCAGTACACCATTTTCCCAACTCTGTTTTTAAAACTTCTACTTCTGATGCCATTGGTAACAAAACTGAGAGAGAAGCTAAAGCTGATGTAAGTCTTAATAAAGAATAGTAGCTTATCATCTTGGTGATGATGCTTTAAAGGGGGGTTTAATATGTGGATTTCTCTCCTCAACTTCACTGTCTCTGTTCACTCCTTTAGCTTTACTTCTTTTATTTTTGAAACTCAGCTGTATACAACTTTTTCTTAAAAATATAGTTTTTTTCATAAGCACGGACACCGTTACAATTATTCTGCCGAGCGATGAGGAGAAATATGAAGATTCATTCTTTCATATATTCAATCTGTAAAAAAAGCCTACTTATAGTAAAGTTCATTGAATAAACTAATAAGTGCAATTCATATTTAATATTAGCTTTTGTTTCTAATCCACCCAACACCTTACTGCCAGTTACCAAAGGAAAGAACTCAAACAGGTTAAGTCTAAGGAATTTTGGGTAATCGGTTCTCATTATTTTATGAAAACATTGTTTCTCATTTTCTGTCCTGCTTGTCAGCTGGTAAATACGGTGAGGTTTTCAGCTGGTAAACTGCATCTGTGTGACCTGAAACCAAAAGTATCTACAGCAATAAATATAGGCACAGTCACAAAAAGAATAGCATTACTGGTGTTGTTTTTTTTAGTTTAGATGATTTAGCAACTTAGTCCTCACTTTGCACATTAAGTGAAGCCTTGTCTGTGATCTTTCTAAAATGATAAGTTATCCTAATGATTCTATACCAGACGGATATCTGTTTGTGAGCCATTTGGCGCAGATGTCTCCACATTGAAACAACACCAAAAACCTTTTGTCACTGACCCTCCCTCCAAATTTACAGCACACAAATTTAAATAAAATGTTACTTTCAGCTAAAATAAATGACGGGATAATTATATAAGTAGGCCCTCAAACAAAGTAATTCAAAACTACTGTTTTACATTGTATAATTAACTGTATTTAGAGCTGTTTGTGAAGGGTAATTAAACAACATTTCTCACAGCAGTTGTCGATCTTGCAGCAGTGTATTATGTTGCAATCCATAATTATATGGCAGCACTTCCTCCAACACTCCCTGCACTCAGCTGCATGTCTTTCTACCTCAACCCAAAGTATTTACAGCCTTTCTTACATTCATGACTCATATGTACTTGCTGTTTTGACAGGCAAAAATATTATAATTTAATCTATTCTATTCAAAATAGGGGCGGCAAAGTGGTGCTGTGGTTAACACCTTTGCCACACAGAGGGTCCCGGTCCTGGGGAATCAGAACCTTTCTGTGTGGAGTTTGCATGTTCTCCCTGTGTCCGCATGGGTTCTCTGCGGGTACTCCGGCTTCCTCACAATGTCGAAAACATGCTTGGTAGATTAATTGGACACTCCAGATTGCCCCCTAGCAATCATTGTGAGTGTTTGCGGTTGTGTGCATCTATATTAGATTTTCATGGCTGTACTGTATTTTTGATATGCTTTTTTTTATGAATGTGTAAGAAGCAAGGATTGTGATGTTTTTGACTTTTTTTTTTCAAAGCTGTTTCTGAAAGATTTTTCTGACAATTCTAAATCTTTATAAAAAGCCTTTGGCTTTACATTTATATGTTTGTCTTTTGGTTTGTTTTCCCTAATATTCTTTATATTTGTTTGTTTACTTCTAGGCTGACGGGTACAGCTGTGCCCTCACCAGTGATATCAAATAAGAACTGGCTTCGGATACACTTCACCTCAGACAGCAATCATAGAAGAAAAGGATTCAGTGCCCAGTATCAAGGTATATTAAACCTGGTCTAATCTATGTTGTAGGTGGCCCTATGTGGTGCTCTAGCTGCTGTATAGTATTACTAGCAGATCTCTGAAGTTACACAGTTGCTAATATTGGGTTTTAAGCTCCACAGTGACAACAAGATTGATGGCCCCTCCTTAGCCCAGAGGATGTAGCTCCCATTATTTCCAAAATTAATTTAAATTTAATTAACAAGACCGTTTTCCACTTTACCCCAATCCCTTTTGAATGAACTCAGAAGAGACAGCAATGTTTCTAGATCCTGTTTTATGGGCATGGTTAAGTCTAAGAGTTTTTAAGGCATTGGTGTCCAAAAAGAGTCCTGGAGGGCAGCAGGTTTAGCTGCTTTTACACATCTGAATAACATCAGTGCACCATTAGCAGGCATGTGCAGAGCTTAACCACCTTTTTCACCATGTTTAAACTCAAGAATTTTACAATTTTTTTGTTTTTTACAATGTTAGCCAACATGTGAAGGAATAAGACTAAAAAATGTGGCCCTGTCAGTGTTTCATATAAATACAGTATTTATTCTATACCACATTGGAGCCTTTTTAAGGGCAGAATTTTTTATTAGCTTAAGTCAACCCCTTTGGATAATTCATGGGACCTAATGGACATGTTTTGTGATATGAGTTTGAAAGTGCATATTTAGTTGTTATGCAGTATCTCACATTTAATTAGCTACTCAAGCCACAAAGCATGATGATCATAATACTGTTCCTTTTTCCACACATCTGACATCTTCTTTTTTGGAGTCCATGGCTTTTTCGACCCTGTCTCTGTCTATTATTGGTCCGTTGCTGTGGCCACTGGTGCCTCTTTTATTTTCTGCGTGTGTGTGGGCCTGTGTGTTTATGTGTGTGTGAAAAGAGGTAAGTGAGGCAAATGTGTTTTCCATGCTAGGTCTGTCTCTCAGTGGACTGTAGTGTTGTTGTAGCCGTGATTTTTTTCTGTCATCCTCTACAGCAGTGCCACTTAGGATAAAATAGATGGAATAAATTTTAATGTTGCCTCTCTCTATTGGTCTTCTCCCCTATTCCTCTCTGGTAGCCACTTTTAGGTGTTGTATAATTGCTCATTCCTGTTTCCAGCATTAATTCAAAATTTCACTGCTGTTGTACTTGTTTGTTAGTGGGGAAGGGGGGGATTGTAAAGCTACATTATGCACATAACCGTCATGCAATAGATGTAAACCTTTAAAAAAAAAAAAAAAAGCATCAGGTAAAAAGATGTGCTACAATTAAAATTTTAAATAGTATGATTTATAATTAAATGAATAACCTCTTTCTCTTCTCATCTCTGCAGTGAAGAAAGCAATAGAGTTGAAGTCCAGGGGGGTAAAGATGATGCCCAGTAAAGACTCCAGTCACAAAAATGCTGTCCGTAAGTACATTTTAGTTTGGCTTACTGTATAATAGTTTGCATGTTATTTAGATATTTCAAACCAAAGCTGTAGCACAACTGGGCACACGTGGGTGAACGGTTTGTGTACACAAGGACCCATGTGGTATTTCGTCTTTGATGTGACACAAGCAGAGATTTTATCTATGTTTCAGAGAGGCTGACCTTCTTGGAGACACAAGTTAGAACCACTTTCTCTTTTCTATGGTGACAGATTTTTTATTCTATTTTCTCACAATAGGCAGATTTTGACCTTCTCAAACTATTTTTGCATTTCATTAATATTACATACTTGTCCTCAAAGCCATTCTGCACACTATTTCAGTACAGTTGATGGTGACGGGAGGTTTTATGACTTTTTCTGAACATGATTTATATCTCCATGCATTCATGTAAGCAAACATGTTCGGACACCAAAATATGTATACTGCTTATTTGATCATATTGTGCTATGTTCTGTTCATTCATTGTATTTCAATATTATTTTTTCCCCTTTTCCTATTTTTCATTATTTTCTATCCTTCCGGTGTTACACACTGTGCATCAGCCTGTGCTGGTGTCAGGAAAATGTCCCAGTGGCAGTTGATCAATGCATCTCAGTGGTTACTATTTGATGGGTTTCGTTGTTCTTTCCTCCAATTGAAGTTTAAAGCCTGCGGATTATTCTTTTAAAAGTCTCTTTTAAACAGTTTGGAGGCTTGACGCTGTGGTACTTTGTGGACAAAACTGAAAAGTCTCCAAGAATTCAGAAAGGGCCAGCAAAGCCATTCATGTGTAGACCAGTAACAACCTCCCTCTGAGACCACACTATCAGTTAGGGATCGATAAAGAGGAAACTATAAAATGATGCAGTGTTTTGTAAAGTTCCTTCTACTCTGCCGGCTTTTGTTTAATGTTTTCCAGCTATCTACTATTTTCATATAGCATACATTATGAATATTATTCTGTAAAGATCTGCACCATGTAAACTTAAGTTTGAAAGACAATGGTAACCAACTAACTTGCATATGTACTTTTTACTTATTGAGTAAAATAAAGGTGATCTAGCAATGATAGCTATACGTCCTTTAATGGGAGGCATATTTAGTAGCAGCCTGAGGATTCCTCTAAAACTGGGTTCAGATCAGGTGATTAAAACTTTTAATCATCTTGGAGGTCGCAACTCATTCTTCATCCATTCTTAGCATTTAATAGAGCTTCGTGAAAAAAAAAATCCTCATCAAAAATTTGTGTGATTTACACGCTCAGCTAAGCATCTGCAACTGCAATCAGCATTACTTCAGTGTGTCTGCATGTTTTTGTGAAAGGAGTCATATGTGCTGATGTGCTTCCTCATGTTTTGCTCCCATGAAAATTTAAATCAGTTAGCTCAGTGAGCAAGTGAATAAGTCTGCAATCACTTCCTTGGGCAATTGGGTATCATATATTTATCAATGGTGTGGTGCTTTGTGTACCAATCTGATCTACCTGCAGACATGGTTATACATACACACACACACACACAAACACGTGCACACACACGCACACAATCAAGTGTATCTTCTTTAATCGTTCATTAATTGTATGATCACATTCAGGTTTTCACACCCAAATGATATCCCATCACACATTTTCATTGTGTTTGCACATCCAAAGTAAAAGTTGCAGTGCTCTCTCCCTCAAGACATGGTACAGTAGCCTTTTTGTGCTTTTGCCAATACCTTCTATTTCTTGCAGTCTTCTTGTTTCCCATTCCTAAGCATTGTTGCCAGATGTTGAGACAGGCACACCAGAAAAACATCTATGAAAAAAAGACCAAAACATGCAGGGTGTTTTTGGAAAAAGTAAGCCTTAGGTTGTGAATAATAAGCAAACCTGCCAGATTTGAAGCCCAGAGCATGTTGTAAAACAGAATGTGTGCAGCAAGATGCCATGAAAACACCTCAGAGATTTAGAGTGAGTGTGTGAACTTGTGTACTTGTCTACAAAATTGGATAGACTGTTGTATCCCTTACGCCTTAAATCTATTATAAATTACTCCCAATATGTATAAAAAAACATAACATGACCAGTGGTTGTATATATGTTTAGCATTCCCCTTCCAGCTTTGAAATGATTTATGTGTTTTCTTACATAAGCATTACATCGAGCCAAAGTAGGGTGATAATGACTGTGAACTGAACAGACCAGGCAGCCATTAAACACTTCTAGCTTTAAGTGAATATAGTTGTTGTTAGGTCAATGTTGACTGAAAACATGCTGTCAAACAAAAAACTGTAGGTTGTCAGTGTTGGCCCAGTGGGGCTGCCTCATCATTTGCCATGAGGCTGGCAACCATTAAACATGAAATAAAAAGAAAGTCAAGGTCAATTTTTGGCCCGGTACCAGTCTTTGAACAACACCTCTTTGCACTCTCTCAATCCCTGTAGTAATATGATGGTTCTATTGGAGAGACTATAACGACTTTGTGCAATATATAATCATTATTAAGAACCAAAGACTGATGGTAATGAGTTTTATCTGTCTAGAGAATGGAGTGCTTATGAATCATAATCTAAAAGACTATCTGTAACAGTCTCTCGCCCATTTAAAAGCACAATCTAATGGGCATGCACATATGAGAATAAATGCACGTAAGTCTGAAAAATTGACCATATAAGAATAATTCTCAAGCAACTTTTTATGTAATCCTATAGCACTGAACACAACAAAATTACTGAAATAGATTTTTATTGAAATGCTTCCCTTTTTTCACAGAGACATTAGCTCACTTCTGAGGATGTGTCATAATTATGGTGAGGCTGAGAGATTGTGATTAAGGGGTTTTTACTCCCCAGACGATGACCTAGAACTATAATGAGGCATCACTGGGATGTGACTTACAATCAGTGTTTTCTTCAGTACTGTTAGGGAATTTGTCGCTGAGCTGCAGTCTACTCAAGCAAAAAAACTAAACAAAAAAAACGAAAAACCCAATTTAAATAAATAATGAAGCAGCCAATGGTTTTGGTCAAGGTTTACAGTCATGCAACATTTTGGCATAAGACAAAACAGCAACGCTATGTTTTAATCAAACTCAGCTTTATTTTTGAAGGTACAGCTCTGAAAAGCTCACTCTGATGTTCAGCTCTGGGGTTGATTGACCTTTGAGCAAAAGAAGGTGTTCGGGAGAGAAAAGCTGAGTGGATAAGAGGCAGAAGGCAGAAGCAGAGGGTATATGAGCTAACTACACTTCATTTCATTCAGCAGAGACCTGAAGAGTTCCTCAAAAACTATTATTTAAAAACACGTCAACTGTTGACACACCCCACTGTTTTGTTCTCGTTTAATTTTTCAAGCAGCTCACCTGGAGCTTGTGATGCCCACAATGAATATTTTAGCTACATGCCTCCAATAAATATTAGAGGCAAGGTTTTTTCTTTCTTTCTACATTCTCTATTGCAAGTCTAGAATTCTGCTCTCAAGAAAAACATGGAAACGTGGAAAAAAAAACAAGTTCAGCTTTACAGAATCTAATCAACATGAAATTGTTTCATTACATTTATTTGCTTTTAAGAATCTCTCCGCTCTCACTCATTAAAATGACTGCCTGTAGTTGTGTACTACCTAATCAACTGATTATCATCACCAAAGACAGCACTTCTGTGCGTGCAGCCAAATTGTGGCAGTGGGATCAATTACTGTTACTTTACAACACTCATTTATTTTCCATATATTCTCTTCATCCCTCTCAGGGTTGTTGGGCGGCTTAAGCAGAGGGCAGGAAGCGTGCTCTACATCCAGGTCACCATCACAACAGAGGGCCAAAAAAAGAGACCAATAATCACCCAAGCTGTGCTCTTCACTCGATTTATAATCACCAATTATCCAGTTCTGTGGGATTTTTGGCTTGCGAGTGGAAATAAAGTGAGATTATGCAAACACCAAACTGAGAGCCCCAGCCAAGATTTGGGCCAGGACTCCTTTGCTTTGAAGGAACCAGAGTGATGCTAAATATGCATTATTGTCTCATAAAAAAAACACAGAAAAGTAATTGGTGTCATTGTAGCTGCTATTTTCTTATCTTATGGTGTCTGGGTGTCAAATGGCCAACGCCATTTATTTCAAAGATCCTTAAAAATCTGGTTGTCCCGAAAGTAGTACAGCAACACCAGTTCTATTACTAGAATAGTTTTCTTTATTTAACCGATGTGTCTTGGCTCACTGAGCAACCTGCAGGATGCAGGTTGCTCAGTGAGTGGTTGTGGAGATATTAAAAAGAGAGAGGGAAAACTAAGAAGCTATTTTAGTTTTATAATCCAACTTGTTCATCACTTTATCACTTTCCCTCATGCTGGTGCTTCTTTTTATGGCTGTGGTACGTTTTGTTAAAGTTCCGTGTAATCTATTGTCTGCTTCCTTTTAGAGATAGAAAATTCAGGCAAAATAAAACTAAATTGGTTTTCTGCAGGTAAGGTTCAATTAGTGAATCTACTTTAACAAAGTTACAGATTTTCTTCCCTCTTACCAAGTCCACGAGATATTGATTGAATTTTTCTTTGCCCCACGGGAATAGTCTGACTTCATCATTGTTTTTCTGTGTATTTTCCATCACCTAAGCGCATCAGCTTGATGAATGAAGAGTGATTTATTTTGTATGTTTTTGTAACTGTCTGTTCACATGAAACTGTGAATGGATTATTGTGACACAGCAACAAGTGTTCATAAGCACGACACGAACTTGTGCACAGTGCCATGGCTTCAGTAAAAGTAAACCCACATACATGATTTCTGAACAAGAGTTGTGTGCTAAGGAGTCAACATTGTGCCACAATTGTGACTTGTGTCACAGTTTGGTGGACATATTTGGATTTTTTCCTACACAACATACAGTTTTGATGGTCCATAAAAGGATGAATGAGACCAAAGAACTTACATACAGACGAGGATGGCTGAGTAAAAGCAACTGAGGCCAAGCAGAGAATACAGGGAAAAGGGAGCTGATGACCAGAATGAAAAAGTACTGGGGATACTATGGCTAAAGACCGGAAACGGAGAAAGAACAAGGAAGAAGGATAAACAAGCAAGAAAAACACCAGAGACCTGCAATAACGCACAAGACAAATTAGATAATATAATAACCAAAGCCACAGGGAAATGTCAAAACTGAACAGGAACAGGTATTCAAAAAACCCACATACATCCAAATTCATGAAACTGGTATGAAAAAAACAAACAGAAAAATAAATCAAATTTACTTAAAAACTTGCTTAAACTTTTTTCAGATACTTTATAAGACTTTAATCCAGGTTGGAATTTTGAGCTTTAAAAATATCAGGCAATTTCTATAGGGAAATCCAATAACATTATGAATAAAACCTGAATTAGAACCCTAGATAACTCGAGGGTATTTTTGAAAGCTGAGATTTCAGATGCTGAACCGTATTTATGAAGGTATGATTTCCACTTTAGGCAAAGCTGATCAAGCATACATCAGAAAATTGACATTTTTCATGGATGCACTGAAAGTAGTCTAGCCTTTGGATATTTTTTAAATGCCCACAATAATGGTTGTCATTGCCTGACGCTATTTCGATACATTTTGACAAATCAAACAAACCACATTAGTTGAGAGAGCATATGTACTTTGAAATGTTTGTCGTTCTTATTTATAATACAAGTAATGAAGCCGACATGCATATTTATCAAAAAAGGTTTAATAACATCATGTCAAAATAGGGATGTAAGAAATGATTAACATTGATTAGAAATACATATTTTGTGTGATCACTGAGGAAAAGTGACACGCACATAGGGGAAAATCAAGATAACACAAGGCCCAGCATACATAATTGCCTATGAGAGAAATAATCAGTTTCTACAAATGCCTAAAAAGTCGATTTTTACTGATGAAACATCCGCTGAAGACTTTGATGATATGGAAATTATGTTATGTATCATGAGCCTATGTTTAAATGTGGAGTAGTCTTTTAAGTGCAAATATGAGATTAAGTCAGCGTGAGGATTTTTTGACAGCAGCCCAACAGTCATATTTGTCAGCTGTTTTTTTTTCCCCTTCCTGCAACAATCTCATGTTGTTTGCATGAGCTGGATTTGTTTCTGCAATATGAACCTTTGTGTTTGATGCCAATGAATGCCATTTGAACATGGGTGAGAGAAAGCATAATGATAGATCGTGAAAGTGTTTGTGCGATGATTTTTGGATAGAACATCAAAAACACAGCAGAGCTCGAAGACAGCTTGTTCTGTTTGCATCATATCTCACACAAACATGCACACACAGTGTCTATATACTCACAATCCACACACCAAATACAATCACACAAATGCAGCAAATCATTCATCCATCTTTCATGCTAGGAAGCACAAAACTTCGATAACCCTTTGTAAATTGCAGCTAATGTGAGTGATAAGAAAAAAGCAGCACACTGAGAATGAAATAGTGGGAAGGGGGGAAGAGTAGAAACACACGGGTAAAGATAGCCAGGAAGAAAAACAGAAACCGGAAGAAAAAGAGAAAAAAAAACAGAAAGATATTGTTTTTTGTCAAGGTTTTTTTTCAAACCCCTGCAGTATGCTTCTTTTTTCCTCTTTGTTCATCTGCGCTCTCTTTTCAATCTTTCACCATTCCCATGCACTTCTTATATTCTGTCCATTCTAACCATCATTATTCATCCACAGAGATCCATTATGACAGAACTGGTGTAAACTGGTTTCCATTATATTGTCGGGGCTCATTTACATTTACATTACAATTTAGGCATACCACAGATGCTCCCAGCTGGTCTAAAACCAATGCAATATCCGGAATATAAGATGGACAAAATTTGTCATGTGTTTTGCTTCTGTGCTGATATAATGTAGATAGATGACTTGGTAGCTGAATTATATGGTGAATAGGGAGAAGTGAGGACTGCTTTCTGCATTAAACCTCTGCACACATCATTTGGTGTAGTCGTTCTGTCATTGCAGCTTTATGCAAAATCCTTTTTTTAATCTCCTTTTCAATGATTCCTTTAGTCAATGTTGAAATTTTCAGACATTTGAATTTCCTTTTTATTGTTATTCACCTAAACACTCAACTTGTGGTAGAAATTTAGAAGCGTACTAATCTTTATTCTGAAGACTGGTGGTTAATTCCCTCCTATTTCATTAAGGAACCCCAACTATGAGCCTCATGTCACCAATCATGCGTGACTCTATAGAAAAGAAGCTGCATGAGTGCATTTAGATGAACTTAGATTAAATATAAAAGCAAGCATTATGGAAGCACAGTGTGACATATATAGCGATATAACAGGTCATTATTGCAAGTAGCATATGAAAAAATCTCACAAAAGAAAATCACACTAGCTCAAGCAAGTGATTGAAGTTCTATCTCTATTGTCACATGACACTCATGCAATTATTATCAATGGCCGAGATTCCTACTTGTTTCTGGACTTTTTGTTTAAAGTTAAACATCATGTATTATTCTACATGTCGGATCTTTAAAGATTTGGGGCTTTGTCCAGTTTAGTCTTAAGAGGTTTTTTACCCACACATATTTACCTTTTTTTATTGAAAAAAACAATGACTCATTCTGAATGTCTTTTGTTGGTGAAAAAATATACTCTGTCTACCTGGTGCTTTCCTCATCTCTTGTGGCAACCCATCTGTTTGTTGCACCGTTCACTCTGCTTCTTTTCTTCTCTTTTTTGCCCACCCTCCAGCAACCAAATTTAATTAAAAGGATCACATTTCTCTTATCATTCCTCCAGCTTGTCCTTTATTGATCTGTTCGTTGATATATTTCTGTGTCAGAGCCCAGATAAGTTGGATTGAGTGCCCTTCTCTTCACAAACCTGACTATGTAGCTCAAGCGGCATCTCTCTGCTGTCCCAAAAGTCTTATAAGAACAGATGACCAATGAAATTGTTCTCTCCACTTAACTTACTGTTTGTCATAACACTAACTCAAGTTAATACTTTTTGCTTTTTGCAAGCTTTCTTTTAGCTGAGGTACCAATAAAGGGAAAAACTATCTAGGACCACTTTTTTGAAAAAGAGGGACTGGCTGGTGTTATTATTTAAAGTGCTCCATTTCATCTTTTTGTTAACATTAGCAAAACACCGGTCCAGGCAGAAACCTTATGACTACGCTAAAATTTATTTAGCTGTTTTTGCATTTAATGTTGTTTTAAGGTGCCTTCTGGCTAACTGTTTACTGTGACAAAAAGCTTCGGAGTTATTTGTTCACAATTATTTTTATTAGTAAGAACTAATGGTAATAATTTAAGAAATGCTGAAATTTACAAAAGGTTAAGTGTGAACTTCAGTAAGGTCATTGATTAAAAATTAAGAATTTTAACAATCATGTACCCTGCAAAGAAGTATAATTAGCACAGGAAGCAAGGCCGTGTCTGATGACTTTTCTTCCTCTTCTTTTTCTCAGTGAGTCAAAGCGGTCTTGCTGGTGACGTTTGCCCAGATCCTGGAGTTCCTGAAAATGGCAAGAGGATGGGATCTGCTTTTCAGTAAGTTTATTTGCATTTTAACTCAGCAGCACATTGTCATTTTGTTGCAATAGAATAACTTTGTGGCTGAATGGTGGTCAAGCGTGTTCCCCGGGGGCCTGTCTGTGTGGAGTGCAAGTCCTCCCTGTGTATGTGTTGCTCTCTCTGGATACTCCAGCTTCCCCACACAGTCCAAAAAACATTTTTGTTAGGTTGATTAGTGACTCTAGGAATGAATCCGAGTGTGTGTTTGTTACCTCTTTCCAATGATGGCTGGGATAGGCTCCAGCCGCCCTGCGACCCTAGTAAGGATAAGTTATATTGGAAATGGATGGAGGGATAGATTAACTTTTATTCTGACACAAGTAATTAAATAATAATGTACACAGTCCTCTTTAAATGTACAAATTTGATAACATTTGCTGCTGTCAGGTTATTTTGGAGAGGCCCCACAAGGTAGCCCTTACTAAGAGCACTGGAACACTCACTCGTGACATGCAAGACTCACAACTGTCACAAGGTGATGAGAGTAAACTTGATAATTAACATAGATCTGATGTCTCTGCAGTACATCAATTCTATTTATCTTTTTGTCCAATGGCTACACTGAGACCACAATTTGTTTAATAAGTAAAAAAGGTCCAGTCTAAAGACTTTGAGGGACTTAAGCGGTTTGTGGTGTGTCCATTATCATATATTAGCAATAGGGACTGTTAAAGGACTACATATTCATGTTTGTTGTCTTTTAAATCTTCTATAGTGAGATTAGTAACAAATCGGTATGCCGATGTTGACTTCACACAAAGATGCACATTTCAAAACAGCTGCAGGCGGTTTGCTGGGGCCATCAGTCAAAGATTCTTCTTCTCTGTTACATGTTCTCATTTAAAATGTTTCTCTTCTGTTTAGAGTCTGAGTCTGTTATATGCACTGCACAATTTGTATTCAAGTTTTGAACTACAGTGGAAGATTCAGATGAGATAACTGACTTTTTTCACAGTTGGCATTTTGCTTTCAAGCAATGCTAGCAGTTAATATGAACCAAAACACAGAATGCGGTGGTAGATATGTCAATGTTAGTCTGAAGTTCTAACACCAGAAAACCCTGCTGACATGTAGCTGACAGAGGAAACCACTTTTGTATTTGTTTAAGCTAATACGTTATTTACCATCGTATGTAGTAATTATATGATGCACCAAAACTACTCTACCCCCTTAGCAGATCATCTCCTGTAAAAAGCATTTTTTTATGGATGTTGTTTTGACACAACTACAATTTAAACCAGTTATACAAGTGTATCCTCACTTCATTCAAGGTGTGCAAATCAACATACTACTTTAAAATTAATGTAAATGAAGATGGCGTCTAAACTAGTCAGCATGTAATAGACTTTGTGTTCACTGTATACAAATTGAGAAATGTTGCACATGCAACTGTCATAGCATTACTTATTCTTCTTAGTTATATGCATCACTGTTTAATGGAGTTTCTTTTCATATTCGGGTTAACAAGGTGCACCTCTTTGATTTGTCTCTTAATCATTCAGATGTAGTCATGAATTCAGAAATAATCAAAACAGCTGGCCAGTGCATCATCCTTGCTTGAACTGTTTGCAGCTTATATGCACAGAGATTTTGTCTCATTCAGAACAAACTATATCAGAAATATGGTGTTTATGGAGGTTTGGTATTGAAAATGGAATATCCTATGATTTTCCCAATCATGGAACACATCATTGGGTTTGGTCAATGATTTATACTAACACTACATTCCCCTCCACGGCTGTAGCTCATCCAAAGCCTGCATTATGTTTATGTCCCTGAAAATATGGTGTATTATTCAGGCCTTATCCCCATAGACAATTTCAAAAAGAGAGTCATCTCTTCTCATTTGGTGATCTGTTTGATTTTTTATTTATTCATTCATTTTATACAGCCAACCTGTTTACATAGACTAGAATTGATCAGAAATTGCTGTGTAAATGAGGTTGTCCTTTTCAGAGTACCCCCGAGCTGAGTTAATCTCACATCATTTTCAGTTTCATATAGTACCAAATCACAACAAATGTAATCTCTGGGTACTTGAAGGATACACTCAGTTCCTGCCAATTAGAGTCAAATTCATTCTTATGCAACCATCATGTAATTGAATAACATTAATTTACTTCCAAATGTGCCCAATTCATACAGAGATAATTTTTAAAAAAAGAAACAAAAAAGAAACAAAGGCTGCCAAGATACTGAAACAAACAGACTGCACAGAAACTACACTTTGATCCGATTCCCCTACCTGAGTGTGTTCAATGAGACTGTGGATAGAAAAAACTAAATGTCAACACCAACAAAACTCAAGTAGAATCTCATTCAGGGAGGGTGGAAATCCACCTAGACTGGCTGGGGTTTAAGAGGGCAGGAAAGAAAAAAACAAACAACAAAACACAAAATTACTGTAGACTTCTTTACACATCTATGGTGGAATATTTAGTTTTTGATGAGACAGACATAATGCATGTTGCTAATAATGTAAGGATATGTAAGTAATCAAATGCATTTGGCACTTTTCAGAATAGAGAAAAACATAAAGCAATGGCTATGAGAAAACTTATAAGAAAAAAAAAGACCCTAAATGCAAAATCTCAGTGAACAGCGCTACAAGGTCGGAGCAGAGATCTAAAGATGTCCCCCAGTCTATTTGAGAGCAAATGGTAAGGAGAAAAAGTGTGCCAAAATGCATCATATAAAAGGGCCGTGAAGGGAATTACTGTGCTTCGAAGTAAAAAATTGAATGATGTATTCCTGATGTTGCTATCTTGAAAAATTCTCAGATTACAAAGTTTTGTCCTATTTATGGTGTTATGGTGAATTTTTAGTAATCTTGCTCTTTGTTTTACCCAATTTTATCAACTTAGTTTTGCTCTTTGATCGGTGTATAAACAAACCCCTTCTTCTGTGGTAACAAAAATAGCCAGACCATATTCTCTGTCCACTTTTGGAAAACTGAATTGCCTGAAGACAGTTATTTTATCATGCAAGATAAAATAAAAACTCAATTGATGTTTGCTGAAATTTCACAAATAAGCTCTAACAGCACATAAAAACATTGTCTTGTCGGAATAAACTACCGTTATCAGACCATGAGATGTGCTCTTTAGCTAAATAACACACTGTCAAGCACAGACATAAAAAACCTGTCCCAAAAAAGTATTTTTCGTTTGAGAACCACAGTGAAAGTATGCAGCTAGGACAGAGAGGGAGTAACTTCAGGACAATTATCTGTTTGAAGGAAGGAGATTTTTATTTTATTTTAAAAGATATTTGAGTGAATCTTATGTTCAAAGCTTCTCTAGGCTATTCCCCAACACAGACTAGAATGAGAGTTGAAACTGCATTGACAGTTGGGTGGTTTTGAGAAGTAGGTACTAACTGGACAAAAAACTATTCTTATCTGTAAGGTTCTGTTAACGTTTAAAGGGAGGAATATTTTTAGTCTTTAAAGAAATCATCCTGTAAAAGCCACTGGATCAAACTGACACGCTTGGTATCTTGGGCACTGTCATTTTTTGCAATATCATGATATATTTATGAGGTTGTAGAATACCGTCTTGCAACACTACGGTGCTCAGAAAACCTTGCCTCATGCACTCACAATGCTGATTGTGTTGAGCTCCAGCCTTTGGTCAAACTCCAGGGCTGCTTTTACATTCCAGTTCCGCTCTCTAGGGTCCAGGCATACAGGGGTTATGCACAGAGGATAACAAGGAATGCTTCTCAAGTAAGATCTTAGCCTGTAAACAAGGATGTGGTGGACACAGCAGATTTTTATAGGAAATAAAAAAATTCCACCCTATGGACTCATCAAATCAGTAGAAACAGAGATGCCATATAATTGAAGCAGGAGTGATTGTGAAATAATCATCTCTCCTTATGGCTCATCCACTTAGCATCAGGGGCGCTCAAATTGTCGAAATCATCCTCCTATGCATATGAAAGAGGCTTTCTGTTTTTATCTTATTTTTTCTGAGACTGCTTTCACTCCCCCACACACAACCGACCAAAAAAAAAAGATAATCATCTTTTAATCTTCTTCTCCTGCTGCTCTTCTTTATCATTAGCAACTACTTATGGCACAAGCGCTCTTACTATTAAACGAGTTGTCTAATTTAGTGAAAGGTCATTACCTCCATGTGTATTTGACAGTGTTCACACCTGTGTAGATGCGGCTATGTGTGTATTCAAACGTCTCTTGGCATGGATGTGTCTGGAGTGTGTTAAAGGTTCTAATTATCATTAGGTCCCGAACTCTGTTAGTACTGCACGAGCAACATTTCAGAGGAAAACAATCATTTAATTCCCGAGCACGACTGAAACTTTGTGTGCAATGGGTCTCTTTTTGCTAAAAGAGACACACGCTTAGTAAGTCTTCATAATTAACATTTTATTTCTTTTTTTATTTAGCTATAGAATGAAATGTGTCTTTGGTATCATCATTTTGGAAAAGGTTGAACTGAAAAACCCAAATCTCTTAGACATTTTTCCAGGATGGGCAACTCTACAGTGTTCAAAAACAGGGCTGAGTCAGTTCCCAACCAGAGCTGTACGCTGCGAATGTGTGGCCGGTGGTTGACTGTGGTGTGTGTCAGCAGGGAGGAGGCTTAAGCTTCACAGACGAGATGCCATGCAGACTTCCACTTACATGTCTGAATGACCTTCTCATGTGTTAGACAGCAGGTGTTTGGAGAGAATTTGAAAACAAGAATGGTCAGAACAAATGATGAGAGACCGAATGGAGACGAGGCAAATTGGGTTGAAAAGACGAAAGAGTAAAGTAAAGATGAACAAAAAGAATGCAGACAAATACCATTACAACAAGAAAATCAATTTCTCTCTTTCTAGCTTTCACTTTGTTTTTGTGTTTTTACTCTTTTTGACAAGCGTTGTCACTGTTTTGTCTCCCTGACCAGGATTGGCTCCAGCGTCCAGTTCAGCTGTGATGACAGCTATGTATTACATGGATCTAAAAGTATCACCTGTCAACGAGTGACTGACACACTGGCTGCCTGGAGTGACCACAGACCCATCTGCAGAAGTAAGTTTTGTCTGTCATTCTCACTGAAATAGCTATGATGTCCTTAGGCGTTGTCCTTATGTGTCAGAGCAACAATGCAGGCTTTTTTTTTCTTCAATTTAATTTCTTCTAAACTTCCAACAGCAAAATAATACATCTTACCCAGTTAATTTGTTATTTTATGAGTAAATCATGAAAAAAGAGACTTCAACACAGTCAATTCAAGAAAATGCTTGGGTGTCACAGATTTTCCCATTGTAGTTGAAGCAATTTATATTCCAGGATATCAAAATTTTCCATCTCATTATAATAATGATAATAATGATAACTAAAACCTATTACTACTACTAATAATAATGTCAGCAACAACAAAAACGATAAATTGTTAGAATGTTAAAAAAAAAGTATTATATCTCTTTTCTTCTTTAGTGCAAATAATCAGTAAGTCATTAAAACAGTGTGGAGGATTTTCAGCTTCGAAAGGCCAAATACAAAGCTGGACACCTGTAATTCATGTTCTAATGTCTCGGACTTCACTGCCTCAGCTGTTAAGCAGTAGCTAATAAAAACACATGGGAAAGGGATTACTGTTTGAATAATTTGTCAAGGACTACAGTATAAATGCCAATTCAAACGTTTGAAGCTACAGAAAATGCTTAAAAATATAAATGAAAAAGAAAGAAAACCTCATATCGACCTTATACCACATTGGGATGTCTTGTCTGGGAGACACTATCCTACCGTGGAAGCATGCATTCCATGGTAGGATGACCAGACCAGTCAGTATGCCTCATCTTTGTTTGATGAAATTGACACAGCGACAGGTTCAAGGTCTGTGTTTTTCATCTAAAAACTGTGAAAGTTATTCATATAATTTCTCCCATGAACCATCACCGAATCATATAAATTCTTTGCAAAGGGCAGCTGAGCTAACCAATGCATCTGTGATCCAGATTAGTTATAATTACAAAACAAACTATTAAACTGGGAAGGCCAGAGTGTTAGGAGCTATATCTCAGTTATGGTAGCCTGCTGGGATTTGATTACACTGAAGTTCTGAGAGCAAAGTAACATGGAGTTTGTATGATTAATTGATGTTTAAAAACCATGATTCACTTACTGACTGACTAAACAAACAGCTGTCATAGAGAGAAAAGTAGGGGGCTCTCACTGCCCACATGTTTGCTGACAATACCCTGTTGGGTCTATTGCTCCACAATCAAAAGGCAGACAGCCAGCATATACACCCAAGTGTGTGAGCACACACACGCTCACAGAGACACTCTCACTGAAAGCATGTATCCAATAGATAATGTCACATGCCTAATATCTGTAGGACCATTGGCCTGGAGCTGTTTGTGTGTGTTTGTGTGCATGTGTGTTTGATGGACAGCCGGTCCCTGCGCTCAGACACATACTGTAGGGTGTCTGTCACAACGTGTTATCATGTATGTGTGTTCGTGCCTGTGTTGTGACCATAATAGCTTGCTGTGATTGCAGAGACATGCCTGAATCCATGATACTGACTATTCCTGTCAGAAACACTTGATGGTGGAGGGGTAAATTATTCAAAGATGTATTCTAAATTCATCTGTCTTAAAGCTTCAGTGGGAAATGTGTGATTTTATTATTGATATTGCATACTTTTGCAAGAGTTATCGATTAACGGAGAGTAATTGGATGGAAATGATCAAGTATTTCATCTTGATTCTGTTTTCTTTGTAATACATATAAAATAAGCATCAGAGAACATTACATTATTTAGACTGAATTATTACTTAGACTGCTGTCAGTACTGGTACATGCAGTCCACCAAAAATAATAATTACGTTAAAAAAATACAATTGGACAAGACAACAAACTGGTGTATATATTGGAGTTTGAACCCAACATGTAAAAATCCAATGTAAAGAATAAAAAAAATAGATCTCCTCTTGTATGAACTGTTCAGAAAACTAGTTTGTTAGTAGCTCACTCAGAAATCATTACACTCCATATTCCATCAGTTAAGTAAAAGAAAACAAATGGAGAAAATAATACTATGGATACTTATATAGTTAGAATTTCATACCAACAACTTGAAAATGTATGTCCAGTGTGTTTAACTTTGATTTGTCTCCTGAGACATCTTTCACTCAAAAAATATGGAGGATAAAATTCAAACAGAGACATTAAGCCGCAGAAAAGTGAAGGTGGGTAGGCTGTCATATAGTGAGGAGGCGGAAGTTACTAATGTTGACAGTCTGCTGAAGTTCGGGAGTACTGGATCATCCATTGTGATCACTCCTCCGGGATTCAAACCCATGAGCTCCTCACATTCTCTACTGAGACTTTACTGTTAATAAGAAGCTGTTTTTTTAGGTGAATTACCATGAATGTCTTTCCATGTGACAATGTAGCTGTGTGCATCACTGTGTGTTTCAGCCCTCTTCTAATTAACAGGCAGATCAGTCATCGGGGGTCCTCTTCTCTCGCCACTCATCTCAAGGCATTTTCTACCTCTTATTTGCCTCTTCCCTTCCCACCTCTATCCCTTCTCAGCCTTGCTGACATTACCATATTTTACTCTTTATAGCCTCTGTTTACATCCCATTCCTAATTTGTGTCACCTATGTCTGTACTTTGACTGAGCTAAACTTGTTTTTTTCATCTTTACTCAGTCAAATCACTATTTTAGTTTACAACATTTTGACGTATTTGCTTATGAACATTATCACCCTACGCAGGGTCGTCTGTCTTTGTGATATCAGCCTGTCTTTATTTCACTCTTTGTATGCCTTTAGATATAATAGATATTGTCAAGAATTGAGATCGGAAAAGGGAGAGTATTGTATTAATATCATTGATAACCTGGTTTTTCATGTTTGTCAAGGGGGCAACCGGTCCTCCAATGCAAAGAAACATTTAGGATTTTTCTTCAATCTCATTTCCATATTTCCATTTCGTCTCTTCTTTGTGTCTGGGCAGCCAGCTCAGTCATTCGCAAATGTACAAAAATCTCTCACAGAGACATTAGAAGTAGCAAAATGCCTGATAAAACCCCTAACCCTATAGATGCAGTGTCTGACACTTGTGTGGCCATGTTGGGCTTAAAGTAGCTGATCACATTGATCATTTTAGTGAGGTTTAATGGACCTGCAAAAAAATAAACAAAGTCTGGAACTCTACTGGGTAAAAAAAACAGTGGAATTATAAAGGGTCAATCCTGTAAAGAAGAACACATCAATTAATTAATCAATGTAATCTTACATTGAGGTAAGCTTGTTTTTAGAAAACGTTTCCTTTTGTGACATGAACATTTCTTTTCTCTAGATATATGTGTAACTCTCTGTCATATTTGTTTGTCTACTTTTGTAGCTCGTACCTGTGGCAGTAACCTAAGGGGGCCCAGAGGGGTAATTACATCACCTAATTATCCCGTCCAGTACGAGAACAACGCACACTGTGTGTGGGTCATCAGTGCCATGGACTCTGAGAAGGTGAGCTCTTTTTCATTTCATATTGCAAATTTGTTTGTTTTAAACAAAAATATTAGATGAATCATCCATCCATCCATTTTCTAAACAGCTTATTCCCAAATGGGGTCGAGGGGTACTGGAGCCTATCCCAGTAGTCAACTGGTGATAGGCAGGGTACACCCTGGAACGGTCCACCAGTTAGATAATTGTTATTATAATTGTTATTATTACAAATCAGACGGTGAGAACAAAGATAATTTTTCCCCAGTGCTTCTTACCCTACAGTATTTTGAACATTGTAATAATCAAAGTCAAACATTGTCAGACTAATGAAAGCTTGCAACTTAAGAACACATCCTGGGAAAAAAGAAACAAACACATAGTCAGATATAGTAATTTGAGAATACTGTAGGATTGTACTCAAAGTTTTATTTTATTTTTTGTTAGTTTGCTGACTGAAATCAGTTTTCATTTTGAGGAACTGGTAGTCAACACACCTCTAAAACTTTATGGATGTATGTGTTGTTGTTGAGTGACGACATACTTAATATGCAATAGCTATACAAAAAACAGCAGTTCCTTTTATGCTATTCTCTGCTCGTCATATTTCTTCGTATATGTCTTCACCCCTCTCTGCCCTACTTCTGTACCCTGCACTCTCCACTCTCTTCTTCTCTCTCCCTGTCTGCTTGCCTCTCATTTTCTCCCAACATCCAAGAGTTCTTTATTTGCTGCCCCTCTCACCTCGCCCTCACCCCCATCTTCTCTGCTCTGCTTTCTTCCAATCCTCTTTCTCTCTGTCATCTACTTTCCTCTTTTCACTTTGATTTGTCTAAAATATTAAGTTCGAAAATGGCGAGAATCGAAAGAGAGGATGGCAAAAAGGAGAATCAGACAGAAATGAGCTCATTGAAAACAGCAGAAAAAGAATGGGAAAAGGGAGAGCTGAAACTTGTTGAATATTCAGCTAGTTATTTCACATCCAAAGAGAGAGAAAAGGAAAAGGACCGTATGTCCAGGCAGGTACTTGACATGTGACACTAGTTTTCTCAAAAGATGGATAGAAATGGAGTCTGCTCACCACTAAGCTCAGAAAGGCAAGGGTTGACAATTGGTGAGATATAATTGAGAAAGGAGAACAAAAAATCTAAAAAGGTATAGGAGCAGAGAGAAATTGACTTTTTGTTCTCCCCTGTGTCTTTCTGACCTTGGCAGAAAGAAATATTGTTCCATAAGTTGGGCAAGAGCCTATGTCAGCCCATGATGTAGTTGTAGTGTATTACTGCGTAGATTTATGTGATCCACATTGCTATGAGCCTCTTGTTGAACCAACAACCTTGGCTTATCTTGAGACATGTCAGAAATACAGCACACCATTCATGCTGCAAATGTCTTACAACCCTTCATTGTTCCAATAGAATATCTCAGTTTGTGTGGCTGAATTTGAATCATGAAAAAGTCTGGAAGCGTCTCCAGAGCTTCAGGAACAGTCTAACCTTAGGATGTTCACTTAAAACTGCCCCAGCTTCAGCTACATTATTCGCAGAAAACCTGAAGTAGTGGTATGGCTTCTAAATCGCTGGTGGTTGTTCTCGGGGTAATAGTGTTTCACATTGACAATTTAGATTTGTCTGTGCATGTGGAGATCAGCCCATCGGTGTGTGTAAGGGAGTTCTGGACACTGTGGGTCCAAATGGCATCTTTCAAATATAGGCAACAAAAGCCTAATCAAATAATCCTTAACATTAGGAACTTCTGACCTGTTGCCAGTGAAATCCCATTTTCTAGATTTATACACAAAAGAATGATTTATATGTATAAATTCAAATATGTCTATTGTTCAAGAATCTCCACCTGCTTCATCGTATTTCCAGGCATTTGATGAATGTTCTATTGGTCTTTGTTAGTATCTTATTTGGAGTCAGCCACAAAATAGTGCTGGAGGTTTTCATCATCAATAAAACATTCAACGGAACCAGAGGACAACAATTTTAAAAGCAAATGACTTTCTCTTTGCAAATCTTTCAGTTTTCCTCTTTTCGCTTTTTCTCGCTCTTTGTCTTCAGCCTCTTCCCCTCTATCCCTGCACTCCCACTGCCTCTGACTGACCATTATTCCACACAATTTCTTTAATCAATAATGTGTTATAAGATTGAAAAAATGATTTATTTTTATTGAAGGCCACACGCATCTTTTTTTTAACGTAGTTTCAATCGCGCAAGTTGAAATGGCCAATAAGTAATACAGACTACGGCGTATCACCTTGTTAAATCTGAATAAGAGCAGTGCAATCAATATAGCTGGTTATGGTCTGTCAGCTGCTCGGTAAAATCCTTTTATTTGTGCCTCTATTTTTGCTTCTGTCTGTGTTATTGTTTGTGTGTCTATGGTTGTGTGTACGAGTTTATGAATATTTACTCTGTCTCCTTTTTTTTTTCTTGTTTGTTTTGTTTTATGTGCCAGCTTAATTGCTAACTGCCAGAGATTGCAAAAATTATGTTGCGCAGTAAACTGTCAACTCAGGTCATAGGGACGAAAGATTTGGGTGGACAGCAGAAAAAAACTGACAGCCTGTGCATATGTGCATGTTATTGTGTGTGTCAGTCATTTGATTCATCAGTATAGAGAAGATAATTATTTTGTTCAAATGTGAACTATCCCTGCCTGCTCACACACATGCAGATTGAAATGCACCATCACACATGCCCATTTAGCCTCTAATCATTGCTGTCTTTTTGCAGATGAATACAAATTAGCTTTTGTGGGACTTTGTTTGTGTCTTTACTTGTGTGTTTGTGTAGCTTTGTTTTTTTAAATCATTTTCACGCATGGACCATCATCATTACTTTACTGTTGACAGGATACATTTTGCGATGTTCTGTCACATTTTCATAAATTCTGCATATTTCAGAAGTTCAGAATCAAGATGGATGGAAGTTGGTTGATAG